ATTGTTATTTTTTTATAATTTATTTATTTTTAACTGATTGTTTCTTTGTATCTTGTATTTATTTATTTTATAAGTAAAATAATAATAATTTTTTCTATAATTGTTAATCACAATCACAATTTAACATATTTTTTAATCATACATCATCATTCTAGTTTTAAATTATCTTTAATTATTTTTTTATTAGAAAGTGTTCATGAATATCTTTATTTTATTTTCATTATAATATAGAAGAATAAAATTTCCACTACTACAAAATATGTTTTCAACGTCGCCATTTAACGTCGGTTAAAGCTGAGCCGACGTTAAATGCACTTTCAACGTCGGTTGATTAAAAAACGTCTGGAACCGATGTTGAATGTCAACTTTCAACGTCGGTTCATCTGGAACCGATGTTGAATGTGTTTTCACCAAAAATTCTTTTAAGTTAGAGAATTGTCATCTGGCAGGGTTCGAACCCAGTACTTTAAAGTTGAAAGTTGATACTCCAACCACTAAACTACTTGTAATTTTACGATAATAACTTACAAATTAATTATATTTATATACAAATAAATATATATTCAGTATAAATATATATTTATTTATATTTTTCGGAAAGTGTTTTTATTTTTTTTAGCCAAAATTTCATTTAAGTTAGAGAATTGTCACTGATAGGATTCGAACCTAGTATTTTAGAATTGAAAGCTAATACTCCAACCACTAAACTACTTGTAATTTTACGATAATAACTTACGGATAAATTATATTTATATACAAATAAATATATATACGTGTAAATATATATTTATTTATATATATTTTCTGGAAAGTGTTTTTATTTTTTTCAGTAAAAAATTCACTTAAGTTAGAGAATTGTCACTGATAGGATTCGAATATAGTATTTTAGAGTTGAAAATTAATACTCCAACCACTAAACTACTATAATATTTTGATAATAATTTACAAATAAATTATATTTATATACAAATAAATATATATCCGTGTAAATATATAAATACAAATATATTTATATATTTTTATGTTGGATGTGAGGGCGCGATCGAGGGTGAAAGTGAGATTGACTCTCGTTTGAGTGAAAATACGTTAAAGCTCACAGAAATTCACTCGTTCAAGCCTAGCTTGAGCGAAAATTGGTATTTTTCGCTTGAGCGAATGTGTCACTTGAGCGAATGATGCGTTTTTCAAATTTATTTTATATCATTATATAAATAAATTATAAATATTATATTCTGTCATTAAATTACAAACCCATATATAGAGACTCGCACACAAATTTGGCATTAAATTTTGAAAACCCACTCGACACACACTTTCACCTTCGAGCGTGCCCTCACATCCAATATATAAATATATAATTATATAAATATATCAAAATATATAAATATATTTGTATTTATATATTTACACGGATATATATTTATTTGTATATAAATATAATTTATTTGTAACTTACTATCAAAAAATTCGAGTAGTTTAGTGGTTGGAGTATCGACCTCCAACACTAAGGTGCTGGGTTCGAATCTGTCAGTGATAAAAAAATAATTTGGTAATGCTTTAAACTTAAAAAAAATATGATAAATAATAAAAATATAATATAAAAGAGAGAGGGACCTAATAAAAATATAATATAAAAGAGAGGGGGATTTCTAGATAAATAGAGGGGTTGGAAAGGTTGGAAATAAATAAAAAAATTTAATTTGAAAAATCAGACTTTCAACGTCGGTTAACCGACGTTGAAGGTCTTATTTGTAGTAGTGTTCTATACTTATTTTTTATTATGATATTTTATTTAAAAAATTTTGTTATTATTTTATTTTATTTAAAATATAGATAATTATGGATAGGTGAAATTATAAAAGAAAAAAAGTTAGTAAATTAATAAAACAATAATGATAATAATTGTAATAATTAAAAAATTAAATAAATTAATAAAAAAGAATAGTTAATGCGCCTAGTCCTATGTTTAAGGATACATGTTAGTGTAATTCTTTATTAATAACAGTTTTTTAAGATGGATTGGGTAATTATAAATAAATATTTTTATTATAGAAGAATTTGTGATGCATTATATTTGAATATAATAAATACATTTTAATAAAAAAAATTGTAAGATAAAGCGTGAGTGGATTTTGTGTCGGCGGTGTGGAATAGATAGCAGCAACGTTAAGTGGAAGAAGGAGAAAGGGAAGGTGGGGGAATTTGGACACATTGGATACAAGTGAGAACAAGCACACCACGTGGTTAAGTGGTGTTTGCATTTGCATACGTTGTTTCTTTATATGGTTTGGTTTTTATGCAGTGGGGGACAAATCACTCGGCGTTATTATTATCCAAATGGAAGGAAGAAACGTGGAGGAGAAGAAATTGACATAGATATGATGAGTTAAATAAATTTTCATTATTTCATATTTAAAGTGTGGTTGGTTTGGTTCTACAACTTCGGTTCCACGTTTCGTACTGGTGTTGGAGTTATGATTTCGATTGCATGTTTCGTATGTAGAAAAATTAAAATTATTTTAAAGTAATAGTATGTTAAATGTAGATCTTAAATCCAGGCTTTTAACATGTCTTAAGTAAAAATCTTATTATAATTCATAGTGATCTCAATATCAATCATAACTCATTTATCATTGGTTCGATTTAGATTGGTTTAACTACTTAAATGAATTTGAATTTGATTGATGATAAACTTATTATTTTTTTTAATTTAATATCTTGTTGTAAATCTAGGAAGAAAAAAACACTACTGCAGAAAAGGCTTTTTACGTCGGTTAAAATAGGTTTTTTATGTCGGTTAAAGCGGCGACATAGATACGGGGTCATAGAAAGTAAGTCTTTCTACGTCGTTTCCTAATAACCGACGTAGAAAGTAAGACTTTCTACGTCGGTTAGTCAGGCAACCGACGTAGAAAGACTTACTTTCTATGAGCTATTCTAATCGGTCATAAGCTGGTTACGATCGGTCATAGAGCTATTCCGATCGATCATAAGCGATTCCGACTGTCATACTACTTTCTATGTCGGTTAACAGCGATAGCAGACATAGAAATTTCTAACTTTCTATAACCCCGAGTATCTATATCGGTTAACGATGCATAGTGATTGTATGTGTTATCAATGTCGGTTATGCCTATAACAGACATAAAATGTTAAACTTTCTACGTCGGTTATGTCATTAACAGACGTAGAAAGTACTTTCTACGTCGGGTAATGACATAACCGACGTAGAAAGTGTTATTTTTTTTTACAATATCTACATTTTCTTCACATATGCTACCTTTCTTCGAGTAGACCTGCCTATTCATCACAGTTCCAGACAAATATTCACAGATCCAAACACTTATACAGACAGATATGCACAGTTCATATATAGTTCCAGACAGATATGTACATATGAAACATATTGAAATCAATATATGTACCTTAGTTCCAGACAGTTCATTTACTTAAACGAATGTAAATTTGCTAACTTAAATCAATTCAATCAAAATTGTTACAAGTCAAATTTGCTATGAAGATTGAATACTTAAAAGGAAAGAAGCCCACTGCTCTCTAATATCGTCTAACACTTCAATCTTCATTGGAGATGAGTCTGTAAATTCCTACATATTGAAACATTTTAGATTTAGAAATCATTTACATAATTGGCATATTTGACTTAATTATAGTATATTTACCTCCCTCCATGAGCCAATAATATTTTTGGCTACGATGGTGTGCATGTGCTTCATCACATAATACCCGCACTCATGGCTTCCCGGTTGGCGTGGACACTACAAGTTAAATACATGTCAGATTAACTTTAAATGACAAATTGAACAACAGTAAGAGGTGTTTGGTCACCTTTGGTGCAATATACGTCAACTTCTTTCTAGCATGAGATGGAAGGCCTTGCAATCTTAGGTGAGCTTCCAAAGCTCTACAAAAGGACAAATAATTTTGGTGTAAGTGCACATATGATACAACAATTAAAAAATCAATTAAAAAAACCAAACTTACGTGTCTATGTGCTTTCTAATATCCAAATCATTTGGTTTCTTGTGTAATGAACACAAGAGAATCACAACAAATTGCCGAGGAACAATGATTATGAGCTGCCAATGACCCCTGCACGTTGAAATAATATTAGTAAAATTCACTAGTACAGAAATCACTTTTAACATCGGGTTTTTCACATCGGTTCTTTAAGAACCGATGTAGAAAGTGAATTCAAGACTTTCAACATCGGTTCCCAGATGAACCGATGTAGAAAACACTTTCTACATCGGTTCATACCGATGTAAAAAACACTTTCTACATCGGTTCCGAGATGAACCGATGTAGAAAGTCTTTTTATAAAATTAAGAGAATTGTTACTTGGCGAGATTCAAACCCAATACCTTGAAGTCGGAGGTCGATACTCCAACCACTAAGCTACCAAGATTTTCTAATAATAACTTATACATAAATTATATTTATATACAAATAAAAATGTATATCCATGTAAATATATAAATATAAAATATATAAATACAAATACAAATATATTTATATATTTATATGTTGGATGTGAGAGCGCTCGAGAGTAAAAGTGTGTGTCAAGTGGGTTTTCAAAATTTGATGTCAAATTTGTGAGCAAGTTTCTTTATATGAATTTGTAATTTAATGATAGAATATAATCTTTATAATTTATTTATAATAATATAGAATATAATCTTTATAATTAATTTATATAATGATATAAAATAAAGAAAAAAATTATTTTATATCATTATATAAATAAATTATAAAGATTATATTTTGTCATTAAGTTATAATCCATATAAAGATACCCGCTCACAAATTTGACATCAAATTTTAAAAATTCACTCGACACACACTTTCATCCTCGAGCGCGTCCTCACATCCAACATATAAATATATAAATATATTTGTATTTGTATTTATATATTTTATATTTATATATTTACATGGATATACATTTTTATTTGTATATAAATATAATTTATATATAAGTTATTATCAGAAAATCCTGGTAGCTTAGTGGTTAGAGTATCAGCCTCCGACTCTAAGGTACTGGGTTCGAATCTTGCCAGTGACAATTCTCTTAATCTGATAATAATTCAAATTCCTAAAAAATATAATATAAAAGGGTTATAAAAGAGAGAGGATAGTCTAGGAAACTCTAGATCAATAGATAGGGTAATTAGAGATGTGTTATGAATAAATAAAATAAAAAAAATATTAGACTTTTTACATCGGTTCCTTACAACCGATGTGGAAAGTCACACTTTCTACATCGGTTGTATCTACATCGGTTCTAGAACCGATGTTAAAAGTCCCTGAGAACCGATGTTAAAAGCTTATTTTGTACTAGTGATTTCAGTTTTACATAAATGTGCATTAATTTATAAGATGTATACTTACTGATGCAAGTAAGGTGCTAAGTAGATTTCTTTGCCCCCATTTTGAAATGTCTCTATTAAGTACGTTTGCACCTCTTCAGCTTTATTCCCAACGGACTGAATGGCAACAGGGTCAACAAATCCATAGATAAAGGCAATCTTCCTCTCAACACACAAACGATGTAAATACCTTCAACATTGAAAATAAATAAAGTTATAAAATAATGTACCAGTGAGAATATAAAAAATATGTAAATATACTTACAATTCCCAAAGCTGCAACAGTGATACACATAGCATATCAAGTACCAGCGAGAAGATCAAAAATATCCCTTTGGAGTAAGAAAAAAGGGATCGTCCGGGTCCTGCATACGACTTCGGGTGGCATATCTAACTGTATGGGAGTGGTCCCGATAGTCGCTGCTAGTGCACCGAGTCGCTGTAAAACAGCCGGTGGTGGTGGTGATTCATGTACAACTTCCTTTGCTTTTTCAGCCTCTTTCTATACAAGTACAAAAAAAAAATAACATTAATATACATCAACCTATCAAAAAATAATAAGTAAAAGGGATAAATGCATGACACAACCTATGCATGTGTTGGGATGGGTCTTGTTAATGAAACTGGCCATAAGATAAAATTTCCAGGTGTTTGTCCCACTGTTTGAACCTCTTCAGTGGGAATAGGGATTGGGGCAGCAGCATCCCGGACATCTACAACCACCACTCTTATCATATCATGTCCAATACTCTGGTGGTGGATGGTTGACCCCAATGCATACATTTTCCCTAAGGTAAACAAATGATAAAATATTTTAGACTATATAACGCTTAACAGTGTACCAAATACATGTCAAAGATATAATACGTACCGTATGCCACCAAATGCTCGGGAGGACCCGCAACATACAACTCACAGTCAGCAGTGTCAGTAGGAGCAACCTCTGCCCCTCTATCAGGAGCATCACAACTCTCCTTTGTGCCGACATGAATCGAGGATGCCTCTCGTGCGGGGACGTAAGGTTGAGAGGACAAAGATGTCAACTCGCTCGCATTGAGCTCAATAACTCTACCTTCAAGTCAGAGTACACCTCATCTAGAATCTCCTTCCTAATTTGTTGTTTGAGGGACTCAAACTCCAACTCATTCAGATGCCTCAAAGTAGGAGTTGCCACGGATGGGGCACCAAAGTACTGTCTGATGTCCACCCCTCGTCCAGCAGCACGAACACGTCCAGGATGCTCTGGGGTACCAATGGCCACCGCCAATATATCCCGACGGCCATGTGGGTGGAATGATCCCCGAGTGCTCTGCTCAACCAACTCATCCTACAACACAAAGGAAGGATTTTTTAGCAAATACATATGCCTATTGTAGTATAACATATATAATTAGTTTAGGATATGCTACTTACAATACGTTGAGCTACAACATTAGTTTACTCAGATAAGTAATTCCCTGATGAGTTCTGGCGAGCTCTCTTCCATTTATCATGGCGTGAAGGGTGAGTGACAGACACTCACAACCGACTCATCTCGAAAGATGACTTGAAGATGTCTCCTTCATCATCTTCTCCTCCAATTTCTCATAACCCCCACGAGACAACTCCGTGGGGTGGATATTCTTTCTCCGAATATCATGTGCCTTCTGCCGCTTGGCCTCGTTGCATTCCATGTTAAATACCGCATTTAAAACCTCTATTTAAAAAAAATGACTCGCAAACAAATGACAAATGTGCTAACCTCGAAACTTAACGTCTAAACGCTCGAGTCCGAAATGCCTGCCATGTCTCCTCATCCAAAAACCGATACTCGGTCACATGGGTTTTTGTTGCTCAATGCCCCATATATGTATCGACTAGTCGATCACTCTTAAAACCTCTCCAAACGTTCCCCAACATATGAGATCCACTTTGTCCTCAACAAAGTGGTGTTAGGGACATCATATGTGACCTACACAATAAAAATAACATGAAGTTCCCAAAAAGTTAAATATATATACATGTTAAATGCTCAATAAGAGTAGGTACCAGGATACTCTACCAAATCTGCGTCTTCGGTGTCTCTGGAACATGGTCCCAATCCTCAATAAGAATACTAACCTTGCTTCTCCCAAGCAAGGCCATATAGCTAGTGAATCTAGCATTGTGCTCTCCCTGTGGCTCTACCTGTTTGCATGTCAAACTCGGATAGGCAATTTCGATCGGAGCTACGGCCGATATTCAAGTCCCTCAACCGTGTAGCACGCCTACCCTTTTTCCCGGTAGACGGCTGACTCGATCACCACCTTGTGTAGGAGGGGGTACTGTGTAGGAGGAGGGGTACCGGATGAATCTGCCATATTTGTGTTCAAAGAAAAAAATAATAGTTATTAATTTAGACAATATGACTCGAAGATAAACAAAAAAGTGCATACATTAAAAAATAATACATTAAAAAAAGTGCATACATTATCAAGTTGGAACATTCTCCCAAAATCCTTCCATATGGTCATAACGTGTGGCATGCACATCATCTATTTCTACATTAACACTCAAGTTTGGCATATTTGAAGAGAAACATGGTGTCTCCGGTATATCAAGTACTAATTCATCATTCTCATGAGAAGTATACATGGGTTTTCCTTGTAGAACCACCGACCATCCTTTGTTAGCGGGATCGATGACATAAAACACTTGTTTTGCCCGAGATGCCATGATAAATGGTTCTTCGGTATAACGAGTATTTTCAAGGTTAACCAAGGTAAATCCAAGATCGTCGGTGAAGATGTCAGTATTAAAATCAACCCACTTACATTTAAAAATAGGTACTCTGAATATCGTGTAATCTATTACCCAAATCTCTTCAATTACACCAAAGTAGTCCATTGACGCCGTTATCGGATATTTATCCTTTGAACTCGAGAAATGCATTGATTCAGCCACCACCATGACTCCACTATTTTGCATTGTGCTTATTTCATCTTCTCCCTTTGTATAAAATGAATAGTTATTTATATCATACCCACCCCAACATATCACATCAAAGTTTGGCTCACATGCTAGCCACTTTAGTGTATCAGAAGTTGTATTGTCACCTTCAACTTGTTGTTTAAACCACTTCAAAAATCTTTTGTTATGTTCAGTGATCACCCACTTTTTAGGCATACGTGGATTATTTCACTTCACAATGTCTTTATGAGCACTTAAGTAGGGGATGACTTCTTCACTGTTATTCAATATGTACAAATGCGCTTGAAGTACTTCATCTCGACACATTGTCACAACTTTTGCACCTCGAGTTCCTCTACCAAGACCTATTCCATGGTAACGAGTCTTAGGTAACCCTATAGCTTCAACTTCCGATAAGTATTGTGTGCAAAACTCAATAGCTTCCTCTCGCAATATATCTTTGAACAATTGATGCTTCAGGACGATATTGGTTCTTCACATACCCTTTTAATATCTTCATGTATCGCTCAATAGGGTACATCCATCGTAAGAAAACTGGACCACAGATTCTAACTTCCCTGGCTAGATGAACAATCAAGTGAACCATAATATCAAAAAATGATGGAGGAAAGTACATCTCAAATTGACATAATATGACTGAAGCCTCATTCTCTAACTGATCCAAAACATCCGGGTTCATAACTTTACTACATACGGCATTAAAAAAAAGCATAATCGAGTTAAGGAATATCTAACATTCTCTCGATAAGATACCTCGAATAGCCACAGTAGAAGTTGTTGCATCAATACATGACAATCATGAGATTTTAACCCAAGCAATTTTAGATCTTTCATAGATACAAGTCTCTTCACATTGGAAGAGTAACCAAATGGAACCTTCACACCTCGTAAAAACTCACAAAAACTTCTTTTCTCTTTTTTAGACAAGTGTGTGACATGCCGGAGGCAAGTATGTTCGGTTACCATGAGGTTGAGGAGCTAATTGTTCTCTTATACCCATTTCAACCATGTCCAAACGAGCATTGACACCATCTTTTGTTTTTCCTTGAATGTTAAGGAGCGTTCCGATGATACCGTCACACACATTTTTCTCACATGCATGACATCTATACAATGCCTCACATCAAGAACCCTCCAATATGGAAGAACAAAAAGGATTGACATTTTCTTCCATATACCTGTGGCTTTCTTTTGCGTCTTTCCAAACTCACACGAAATCGCACTTGCTCATTGATATACTTCTTCCCCACTTAAAGGTGTTGGGGCTGCATCATTTTCTTGACACCCGTTAAATGATTTTTTTAATTTACGATATGAATGGTTTGAAGGAAGAAATCTTCGGTGTCCAAGGTACACTGTTTTCCTTCCATGTTGTATTTGATAGTGACATGTGTCTTCTTCACATATCGGGAAAGCTTTATGTCCCTTTGTGCTGTAGCCACTCAAATTACATATGCTGGAAAGTCATTAATTATACAAAATAACATTGCACGCAACTTGAATAAGTCACATGTGTACCCATCAAACACATCAACACCTTCCTCCCACAACATCTTCAACTCTTCAACCAATGGGCTTAAAAAAACATCAATGTCATTTCCAGGTTGTCCGGGACCCAAGATCATCAAAGATAGCATCAAGTACTTACGTTTCATACACAACCACTGGAGGTAAGTTGTAAATAACTAACACTACGAGGCCATGAACTATGTTTACTCGCTTAAATTTCCATATGGATTCATTCCATCTC